AGATATCTTCCTCACGACATCAGCACACTAGCAGACCAAATCAGCTTCTTTTACCAAAGCCCGCTTCTTGCCGATAAGCTCCTCCGCGAACCCAGAAGCAAGGCGGATCTTGTCACTCGACTAGTGACAGCGCCCCCGGGAGAGAGGGAATATCCAATGTACGGCTTCGGGATCTATGTTGGGCGTGATGGGAAAGAGCATCTCGGAATAGACCGTTTCCAACGACCTGGACGGTTCGATATGCTAATTACAACTGGAAAGATGGAAAGCTGATTGTCCTATTCCTTCTTTCAACGGCAAGCCCGGTGCGGTTACGTATGCAATGATACGTTCCATGAAACGTGGTTGTGCTACGAAGCATTTTCAGAAATCCGCTTACGATTGAACGACGACGATACGACGATGTCACGCGGAAAATTTACTTAGCGATGATATTGAAACGATTGACTTACGAAGACGACGATGATGTATGCTTAGATGCGACGACATGCTTCTTATTTTTCGTGATATTAGCGCCTCATTGTTTTCTGCATGTTCTAATAACTGTTTTGTTTCGGTGATACTCTGCTATGTTTCACTCAGGTTCTGAAAATGCCCTCTGACTTTTCTCTGTTTTCAAAACATCATCACCTGCGATGGCATTGTACAGACGCCTATTTCTTTCCCAGCTGTACCCCTATAGAACACAAACAATATGATGAAATTGGAGTGAAAGCATCTCTATTCATCTATTATCTTGATAAGATCGGATACCGTCCGTCAAAATGAGTTCTCACTGGATCGATTACCTGGACCAGAGGAAAGACAAATCTCGCCAGCGCACCCGCAGACGGCGTCACTGCTGAGTGCTGGGCGGGTGGTTCGTCTTGCCGTTTTTGATAGTCTCTGCTCGCTAGGGCTGAGTTTACGCGGTGACCAACTGGCATGGATTTCAGCGGGTTGCCGATATACCCTTTTGATGGTCGTTTGGAATAGCCTTGCTTCTCTATCAACTGGGGAGCTGTCTATTGTATTATTAGACCATGGACAATGATAAACCGAATTCCTTTATGGGACTTAATAACGATTGCATGAGCTAGAATCCCAGCAACTGAGCACGTGACCTCGGCAAATATCAACTCCGCATCGTATCTCCGCCTCGATGAGACTGAATCAGAATCCGTTTGACTTTACTTGCTCCTTAACACGACCAGCCTCCAAATCTCCTCTCCTTCCCCTTGCGCTGAATATATCTCATTGTGCGTGCGTTGGCATAAAAAGTATCAACTCCAATTTCACCCAACCAAGTCAACCACTCACCACACCACCAAAACAACTCAGCTCAACACCATGCTCTCCTTCTTCAACTGGGGCCCCAGCCCAAGCCCAACCACAGACGCAAAGAAGACGTCTCCAGCATCCTCCCAACCCGAGTCCACCCCCGGATCAACCGAATCGCAACCGCAGCCACAACCAACGCAATTGCAACCACCAAAACACCTCACGAACCTCAAACTCCTCTTCGGCGGCGTGACCTTCTTCACCCTCTCGCTGCTCATCACCCGCCGCGCTTTCACGAAGCGCGTCATCGCCTCCATGCCGCCCTACTGGACGTCGTCGGTGTACCACCGGCCCCCCGTCAACGGCGCGGGGGACGCCTTCGAGGCGCTGAGCCTCGCGACGCTGAATGTGTGTTCGTTTGCGATGATGGCTACGGGCGGTGTGCTTTATGCGCTTGATGTCAATAGCGTGGAGGATATGCGGCGGTATGTGAAGAGGGAGTTTGGGACGGGGACGGTGCGGGATGAGGAGACGGAGAGGGAGGTGGAGGAGTGGGTTGCCAAGGTGTTGGGGGAGAAGTTTGGGGTGGAGTTGAAGAAGGAGAAGGAGAAGGAAACGGGAAATGCTGAAGGGAACCTGGAGTAGAGGAGAGGTTCTAGAAGAAAATGCACAGTGGAAACATCATCCTCAGCTCTTGTATACTAGTCATATCACGAATCATGAACTGCATTAGATTGGACAGCTATATTATTACACTCGGTCTGATAACACTACTTGTCCATCCGTTCGTATCGCTCCCGCGCTGTCTGCCTCGTCTTCTCCAGGAACTCATCGTACCGGTTGCGTGTGTTGCGTCCCGCTTCCTCGACCGCATCACCCAGCTTGCTTCCTTGCGCACCCAGTCCAACACCCTGCGCGTACACCTCCGTGGCTATCGGGGCGGTCATGCCAGTACCCTGAGCTCCCAGTCCAGAGCCGGCCGACCAACCCATCTTGCTGAGGAGCGACGCACCCTTCGATGTTGTCTCCACTGGTGGTTCGTCTTCCTCCTTCGGCGCAGCAGGCTTGGGCTTGGTTGCCGTTCGCGAGCCGCCAAACGCCTTTCGACGTTCCTTTGCACGATCCCTGTACTCGGGGGTAGACTGAACGATGCCATGTTTAATGAGCTTGCCCATTGCTTTGGATTTCAATTCGTCGTCCTGCAAATTATCACGGTGCAGCTGACTGAGCCGCTCGTGTCTGTTGACTTCAGCCGAGCTCTTGAATTGCCGCATGCACAGGTAGCAGCAATTCCGATTCAAATCAGCATAGGATTGTGTGGGAGGAGCCGCAGCGTCGGCCGGCGATCCGCGGCTTTCCATGCCACCATCGCCTCCCTTCTCGTCTGCGTCCTTTTTCTGAATGCCATGCAGCTCAGCATGGCGATTACTCCAGAACTGCAGATGAGAGGGTACCGCAACTTTCTTGGACGCTGCGCTTGCTGCGGCGTCTGCTTTTCGCTTCTTTGCCTTCTCTGCGTCTTTCGTGCTCTTCCCTTGGCTTTCAGCTTGGCCCTGCGCGGTCGAGACTTGGTTATTGTCCAACTCGGCAGTTGACACCGTCAATTCTGTCACATATGCCTCCTCGTCCCAGTACATAAGCTTCAAGGATGGGTTACTGAGCGGACTGAAGGTGAACCGGTCCGTGCTCGCCGAAGGATTGATGACGGGTACAAACACGCCAGCATGTATGTAGCTTACAAGCACAGGCTTTGAAGAGATGGTAAATTTTTCAAATGAATGAAGTCGCGCAACAGCCGCTTGGGCATCCTGCAAGAACAATAAGCTAAGCGAGACATGGAAGATCATAATAAACGTACCTGAACAGTGGCGAATTCCGCAAATCCATAGCGCCAGCTCTCGTTGGTTTTGCGGTCTCTGACCAGTAGGACACGGCGAATAGAGCCATCTCTTGCCCCAAGATTGGAGTCACCGGTAGTGGAAGCCACCTTGGCTCCCTTCCTTTGGTTCTCCGACGATCCACCCGAACCGGAAGTAGGTCGATAGAGCTTAGCCACGCCCTTTGCAAGAAGCTCTTCAGTGACAGAAGGCTCTAGCCCTCGGAAGAGAAGAAACTGCGAAGGTTGATTGTCTGGAGCTGCATCGTTGTCGCCGTTGTTCTCAACCTTCGGAGCAGCAATTCCAGGTGGACCAGCCGGGCCAGCCTCTGCGCCCTGTCAGAAACTCGCCCTATATCAGACTGACGGAAGGACTTACCAGGCCGGGGCGCTTGGCATCGGAAGCATTTATTACGAGTCGAGTAGTTAACGATAGCGCACTGTATTAATCCAGGTCAGCTTTCTAGTTTTGCAATGGCCCAACCAACTCACCATTTTGCAGGTCCAGTCACCGTCGGCCCTGGCACGAGCGCGATCCTCCCTCTCACGACTGTAGGCGATGCGGACTTTGGTGCCCTTCTCATTATTGCCGGCATTAGGTCCATGCAGATAGATCGATGGGAAGTTGCGGTCCATAAAGTCGCGCGCAAAGTCAAGCTTCCCAAACCTGAGGAAGCCAAGTTGCCGTGATTTTTCTGTACAAGTCAGACACTTTGGCGCAAATTACGACAGAAGAAAAACATACTGGTTTGTCGGTCACGGATCACCCGAACTTCTTCTAGACCTTCGACATAGTAAAAGTCTCTGAGCTCAGTCGAAATCTGTTCAACACGTCGACCGGAACAGACCCGGTGACATGCACATCTCAGCCTCTTGCCATCAAGAACGTGTTTGTGACATGGAGCGTAGCTCTTAAACTCCAGAAATGGAACTTCAGGGGGGGAAGGAGTTTTCCAACGTCTTCTTCCGCCATATCCACCGGCAACCCATCCATCATGACTTCTCTGCTTTCCTTCTCGTGGTAAGGCTGTCGACTTCGACGAGGGCTACGGCTGCGACTGTAGCTTCTACTCCGACTGTATCCGGGTGAACGATATCCCTCACGATCACGATCTCTGTAGGCCGGCCTGCCGCGCCGCGGGGGGGGTGATCTAGAAGGTCGCCGACGATAGTCATCGCGGTCGCGGCTTCGATAGCGAGGTCGGGAATCGAGTCGGTCTCTGGATGGTTCGCGTCGCCGATCTGCAGCTGGGCCTCGCGGAGGAGAGCGCTGGCCTCCTTCACTCAGAGAACAATGTTAGTAAATCTCTATCTGCAGAGGAATATATGGCCTCTATAAAGCATCCGGCTTGATAACATGTGGGGAAAGAGAGCGTTTACCGCCAGGCGATCGTGATCGGGAAGGCGAACGATCATCGTACATACGACCGTCCCGATCGTCACGGCGTGGGTAAGGCCGATGAGAGGATCCCGGGGGAAATCTGCTGTCTTCCGGATCGAAATGTGACATGATGGCACCGCAAGAAAACTGTGATGGAGACTTGGAGAAGGACAGTCAACTGACGGAGTTTCATACATATACCCGGCAGAATCCTAGACCGCCTTCTGAACAGTCGCTTATACTTCCCAGTCGGGCGAGGACGAGAACTATAACATTTCCCAGGGCACGCATCATCTCTAGGTTGTTAAATTTGACACGGCCTATAGGCTTCATTCAAACAATTGACGCTTTATCTACTCATAGATTCCCTAGGATAAGTGGAATAAGAGACCAAATAGTCATGTTGCATGGTCCCATTTGCCTTTTGATGAATACTGTAATGTTAACATTTTCCAGCAAACTAGCTACCGCAAGCATGCCCGTCTACTCCTGCAGGTGAATCTCTGCCGTAAAATCGAATCCACCCCTGATAATAACGAGATCGTCGTTGCGTGCAAAGAGGATATCCCGCCGAAGCACGGCGCAAATTACGTCCCGCCACCCGGCGACCCAGTCGTACGGGATGAAAAAATGTCTGCTGTACGATGTTATATCAGGTGTTTGATTTTCCAGTCTCACAGAACATACCCAGGAGCCGGTGTCGAGGAAGACCAGTCTACTGGATTCGCAGATTCCAATAACGTGTGCGACCCTCTGAGAAAGAAGGGCGAGCCTTGGCTCCACTGGTGAAACCAGAGACTCACCTTCTTGCACGCCTTGACCTTCGACTATCGATAATGGTGCTAGATTGTCGTCTAACCCTGGTGATACTGCGACGACTTCCTTGACGTTGTCTTTATTATTGGCTTCGAAGGATTGTGCGTCCAGAAGATATAGGTTTTGAGTCTTCGCTGGGCCGCCTGATTCGGAGAGCTCAATGAGAACACCCTTTGCACTATGGAACGCAAATTGTTTGATGCTCTTAAACTCCAGCTCCCGCACACTGATGTCAAGTGACACAGATAGAACCTGTAACCACTTATCCCAAGTATACACTCGGACAGCTGTACTTTCAAAGCAAATTGCGTGATGTGCTGAGCGTGGATGCTGCACCCATTTTCGCACGCCTAGCCTATCGGTGTATATTCGTGAACTCTCCTCGTGGCCATCAACTTGCCACAGGTGATCTGATTCACGTGTTGATATGAGGAACTTGCTAATTGCTTTCGACGTGAGCAATTGAATGATGGAACTGCCAGACTCTAGTCGGGACTGAAATGCCATTCTCTCGGCAATCCATTCGCCTTGCGCCGACTTCCTCACATTCCAGGCAAGTATCTTGTTTGATACATCAATGCTGATAGCTAGGTCATGTTGACTCCACCATTCCAAGATGCGAACTGGTGAGTTGTGACGGCAGATTTCAAGCTTCCTAGACCCGGTTCTTGCGTCGTACAATGAAACAGACCCATCATCGCGGCCGCATAGGACAACATCTCTGTCACTGTTCACTGCAATGGCGCTGATCTTGACCTTAGTGTCCGTGGCAACCGCTTCTACAAACGATTGCGACGAGTTTTCGCTCGTATCGTCACCGACTGAACTCCGAAGGAGCATCGGCGGCTCCCAAACATTGCATTGCGATCCTCTAATATCGACACAGTGCAGGCTATCGATGCTGAAAGACAGCTGTTTTATGTGGAGACTAGATGCTTGGACTCGGTAGAGCAACGTGAGAGTATCGAATTCGTATATCTGAATTGCTCCGAATCCAGCACTTCCTGCAAGCAGGCGTCCGTCTGGACTGGATGCGAGCGTGTGGCAATTCGCGCGATGACTTTCCAGAATTTGATCGTCAAATGGATTGAGAAGAACAAGTTCACCATCAAGGTATGATGCAACAAGCAGACCAATAGCCGGGTTGGGGTTGAATACCAGGGCTGTCACCAAATGCGTGCTCGTCCCACCATCGGAAAGTTTTTTGCCGCAAGAACCATAATAAGCATCCTCTTCGAGGTCCCAGAGAGCAATCGGCCGCCCACTATATGCGACTGCGAGCATTCTATGTCCGAAGGAGATCGAGATCGCACTTGGAACTCGCCTCGACCGCGCGCAGTTGTCATCGCCTGTGTCATTCCACGGCCTGTCCGGTTGTCTAGCACCATTGTTGTTCAGGTCCCAAGACGCCAAGTAATTTTTATACGTTGGAATAACCAGGGAATCTCCGTCGAATGTAAGTCCTATAGGTCTAGCCGTCACTTCGAAACTGTAAAGGATATGACCGTTCCGAACGTCCCATACCAAAACCTTCTTCAATCCACACGAGGCGAGTAAGTCCGCCTTGGTTCCGAACTGCAGGAACTGGACCGCCTCTCCATGATCAAGCTTCTTGTATTCCTGACAAGTCGTCACGTAGTACATGAATATTTGACCGGTACTCAACCCTACCGCAAAAAACTCGTGTCCGTGGCAGAGTGCGCTAGTTTGGCCTTGATGGAAATCAATGCAAGAGAGTCGATCGTCCCACAAAGCGTTCGACATTCCAATAACAGAGATCTTTCGCCCGGGGCCTGCAGTCTTGTGCACTGTCGATTCTAAGGGACAGAATTGGGGTATCAGCGAGTATATCGCCGACGGTAGGCTGATGAGAGGATCTGAGAACTTCGCGGCAATTCTGATCAAGTCCGTTATCCAACCTCTCACCCTTTGTAATTCAGTCGCGAGCGGTGACCGCTGGCCGGAGCAGGCATTCAGATATATTTTCAGGTTCCTCGCAGTGCGGATGAGTGGCATGAGGTTCTTACTTCTAGCGATAACTTCGATCCATGAAAAGATGTTGGTTTTCAGGAACTTGTCAAGTAAAGTCAGAAGGTCGTCTGCTAGTGGATTGGCCTTCGTTAGGTGATAAGAGAATTGTAAGGAAGCGTAGCTAGAGAACTCGCTTCGTTTTTCTGCTGGGGTCCTTGAAATGGCTCGCCTTTTGGTCCTCGGTGGCCTCATCTCCTCCCCTGCAAGGTACGTAAGGCAAGCTCTTGCGATACGCGTATGAGCATCGGCCTTATCAATCGCGAACTCTGAATTCAAACTGTTGTTCAATAGAAACTCCCTAGCAGTTTCATGCACCATCTGGACTCTGTCAAACTTATCAATAGCAACCAGCTGCCCACACAGTGCACTTATGCTTTCCCGCAATCTAGGGAATGTATCGTTGATATCTAGTTTCAAAGCTTCTTCAAGCTCCTCCACAGTTAGTTGCCGCGTTGCAGTTGTAGCCCAGGCAAGGATAGCCTTAATCAGCCTCTTGCCTCGTGTAGTTCGTGACATCAAATCTAGTGTTCTCAAGTAAAGTTCTTCCATGTMCTTGGGCGCTTCCGCGAGGACCTGGCGAATCTCCTCTTCCGAATGTGAGTCAGACAACTCATTGAGAACCAAGACAGTCCAAAGCCAAGATCCTTGAGACTTCGCTAAAATTCTTTCCGCCAGAGCAGCACGATCAGCCTCGGTTCTGACAATCAGGGTACTGGCTTTCGTTCGAACAAGCGATTCAAGATCATTCTTCATGTCCGCAGTTGAGATAAGCTCCGCTCGGACTTGGTTATGTGCTAACATTGTAATACACCTTTCGATGTCCGACGTTTGTCGGCTTGTGACCAGAATTCTCAGCGGGACTGAGGGATCAAGCTGGCCAAGCACAATTTCGAAGAAAGATGACAGGTTTGCACACTCATCGAGAGCATCAATGACCCAGTAGTGTCGATGGAATTCTGTTCTAAAGATCCCAGAGGTGAACAATCTTCGCCAGAGGATACGGTCCTCGTGACCGTCGAGCTTTACATCGGTTTCACGCATTTCAAGCAGTAGTTGCAAAATCTCACTGTTTGCGCAAGCCATTTGAAAAGCGAGAGATCGAAGGCAGGCACTTAGCCGTGACTTGGACTTCTCTCCGTGTTTGAAAAAGAAGAAGCTGCAAGCTTCATGCTTCATGCTTCATGCGTAACTGAGAAACCAGGTAGCCTGAAAGTACCGACTTGCCAGACCCAGGTTTTCCGAAGAGCCAAAGCACACGTGCAGCATTGGCGTTGTCGTGCCACTCTAGGTAACTTTTTTTCGATTGTATCCATTCGCAAGTCCCCTGCAAGCGGGCATCTTGAACGAGTATCAAGTCGTCCTCTAACTTGTCGGACACGTCTAGGTATTCTCTCAGGTCTTTGATGTTGCTCCGAAGTAGCCTCTCCTTCGATTTCAGCGCTGCGTCCAATTTAGCGAGCTGCTTGCGAGATGTAGGGGATCATACTCATACCTGATTCCGTGGCACTGTTGATTGTGAACGCGAGTGCATTGCGGATGAGTATATAATTTGGATCGCTTGGCGCTTCGAATTTGCATATGGAGCGATGGTCAGCGTTCAGCGGTATTCGTTTCTCTTCGCGATATCCAAGTGTAGCCGAGTCAGGATCAACGATCAGCACACGGAAGACACCTATGCTGAGCTTTTGTGTTTCGTAAAATGACCAAAGATCTATGTCTTCCGAATGCCTACGGAATTCGTCATTAATCAAGTTTATAGCGTCCGATCCGCGCTTCAGGTCTGAGACGTAGGCACGCGACGAGTACGCGATGTTGAGGATATTGCTTAGAAGCTTGGCAGAATCAGAGCCTCGGTGAGGTGTCGCGAGGAAGTACATGGCACGAATCCTTTTGACCAGATAGCGATCTGTCGCATCTTGCTTTGCCAACAAAAACGCCTTGTTGATGACCAGACCACCCATGCTGTGGCCGATGAAAACGATTGGCGTATCTGCATTGTGCAAATGGGGTGAAGTACTCAATTCGCCCAACAAAGATCGGGCGAAGTGATAGATGTCCAGGCAATTATCCTTGCCCTTGATCCAGTCCGAATCATATCCGAAACTGTGCACCCGAGCATTCTTAAACGCGGGATCTCTAGGAAGCCATTCCTTTGGCCAGTAATGCGAAGCAGACGTTGTTTTACTCCACGTTTTTCTGGAACCACCTCCGAGACCATGAACGAATATCAAATCAATCAGAGGTTGTTCTGGAGAAAACAGAAGATTTAGCCCTAGGGGTCCTCGGAGCTCTTCAGGGCTGACTTCTGTGGCAAATTTGCTTTCGACATCGGTCTCGGTCGTTTGGACAGTGCTGTAACTGAAGATGCTCGTTGCAGAAACCTCACTCCCTTTGCGATGCGAACTCTTGAACGAATACACCGATCTGGGTCAGCAGAGGTACTAAAGATCGGAAAACTTAGAATGTGGTTCGGAAAAAGCTTACCATCCTGTTGCGGCATTGTCTCTTAACTTCTTTGGCCCAGAGATGTGCTCTGTCCCAGTTCCAGAAGTCGGAGGAAATCGAAATGAAGTCCTCTACGCCATTGATGGAAGCTCGCTGGCTCGTTGTGCTACGTGAACCATCTGCGGAGAAGCATTACTAGATCCAATAGCTCCACTGCCCTGGTTAGTTACCAACAGGCATTGGGGTGATAAGAAGGGTTAGCATCATTAGGTAGTCAAGAACATGAGTCTCACTGTTTTATCGGGGGCGAACACGGCCCAGCCTGAATATGGATTGGGCGAATGAATAGCCATTGTTTGGCGCCCACGGCTCAGGCTCGAGATGAGGGGTAGTATTGTAAAATGTAGTTGAAACATAATGTCCGGCCTGGGTCAGACTCTTCAATTTCCAGTCAAGGATCGAGACTTCCAATATAGGTTATGGATTCCTCTTGAAAATCTCGTCGGGCATTACTCCCTATGCACTGACACTTTTGGTGGTGTTTGACATAGCTACTCAATTTGATGGGAAAAGCTGTGGGTTTAATTAGAACTTAGAAGCATGTCGGTGTTATCTAGCCCTATTTTGGCAAGGCCATCTATACAGCCTAAGACGTAAAACGTGAGACGTCCTCAGCCAGATAGCTACCTAATCATGCATGTACTCTTTTGTCGCTTGTCTTCGTTCCATTTACAAGATCTTTGTACTCATGTTTTCTCACATTTGCTCAACCTCAAAGCTTCAGTTTGCCTAGACATTCAGCGACATAATTCAGACCACGTTTCAATCCAGTGAACCCGCAATTCCGGCTGCTTCACAATCCAGCATAAGACATAATGACAACCGAAGCTTCCCACCCAACAATTGCGGCAGGCGATCATAAAGCTTATATGGAATATGCTCTAGAGAAAGCTCGATTGTCCCCGCCAGCGCCCACCAAGTTCTGCGTTGGAGCAGTTCTTGTGGACGCAGATAAGAACGAGATCTTATCAACGGGATACTCGATGGAACTGCCTGGGGATCGGCCGGGAGATCCAGGCAATACACACGCAGAACAATGCTGTTTCATCAAAGTCGCAGAAAGACATAATATACTAGAAGACCGATTGGGCGAGGTTTTACCCAAAAATACGGTCCTGTATACGACGATGGAGCCGTGCAACGAGCGACTCAGCGGGAACAGGACATGCGTGGACAGGATATTGAGTCTCAAAGGCGCAGTTAAAGTGGTCTACGTGGGAATCAAGGAACCGGAGACGTTTATCGGTCAGAACCTGGGCAGGAAGAAACTTGAGGACGGCGGTGTTATTGTTGAGCATGTTGAGGGTATGGAGCAACAGATTATGGAGGTATCTATGGCCGGACATGATAAATGAACCGTTATTTTGAAGAGATGTACATAATGCTATCTCTTTTTCTTGTCTAATCTGGAGAAGTGACTTACAGACTACATCGCTGTTTAGATACGGGCCATGGCTCTCTGATATTACTTCAATCATAACCCGAGTAGCAGGAGCTGGCTGGAGAGTGCAAGTTTCTTGCAATTTAGCGCCGGAGAGTGTTGTCGGCGAGGACGTGAGACAAGATACGTATCAGGTCAAACAGATGCTATCTAGCAGGCCTTTTCCTGTCGGTTCAATGTAGCCAAGGACCCAAGCACATCAAGACGCACTCTCTATTATCCAATCGTTGAGTAGTAGGTTTCCTCGCTGGCGCTTGGTTAGATCCCGGCGATTTGATACTTAGCGCCCCTCTCCATCCCGAATCCCACCCCACACTTGAGCAAAATGTACATATATATCTCGTTTATTTCGGCCGTCTGACTTTAAAAGATACTCGTATATGTATACATTATATTGAAGAAACTGTGACCGCATAATGGATAACTCCGAAGACATTGTCGATCCTAGTGTCGTTGCTGGTTGAGTGCCTCGACGTTCAGCAACTCCGAATGACCACTAATTTCTTCGTAGAATTACTAAAGGGGTGTAGAGTAACATCTGTTGAAAGCCATGGCATCAGTTTCTGGGCTAACACAAACCGTCTCGACGTCGAGTTAGCCGACGGAACACCTTTATCGTTCTTCATCAAGGTGTTATCTGGCGAAACTGGCAAGAACATGGTTCATGGTGAGTATGAGTCCATGAAGGCCATCTACACCGTCTCCCCAGAATTCGCTCCAAAGCCAATTGCATGGGGCTCGTTCATAAACACGCCGGATACGCACTTCTTCCTTTGCGAGTACCGCGAGATGACGAACGAAATGCCTGACCCGCATAAGTTCGCCGCACGGCTAGCAGCGCTACATCAGGGTAGCGTCTCCCCAACCGGCAGATTTGGCTTTCATGTTACGACATACAGTGGCAATCTTCCCCAGACCAACGAGTGGGAGGACAGCTGGGAGGTATTCTTTACGAAGAATATGAGATTGGCGCTCGATTGCGAAATTGCGGCTAAGGGATATGATGCTGAATTCGATGAACTTGTTCCGGCCCTATTCGACAAGGTCATTCCTCGTCTGCTGAGGCCTCTTGAATCTGAAGGAAGATTTGTGAAGCCTTCCCTTGTTCATGGTGATCTGTGGTATGCAAACTCTGGTATCGACCTGGAAACCAACGAGCCCTTGATTTTCGATGCATGCTGCTTTTATGCCCACAACGAATGTACGTGAATGACATCCATCAGTTAACGCATTGTACTATGACTGACAAGAAATAACGGTCCGCAGACGAATTCGGTCAATGGCGACCTGTCTGCAATCGCTTCGGGCCCGAATATCTGGCCGCGTATCACTCATATGTTCAAATCTCGGCACCGGAGGAGGATTATGATGGTCGTCTTGACCTATACAAATTGTGAGTAATTCCAGGCCATGTCGACATTTCGAGTCTGCTGACTCGAAGCAGAAGATTCAATACACACGTATCTGCGTTGTTCAAAGATAACCAAACACTGAGAGAGCAGTATGCACCATGCCCAGTCCTCTTCGTTAGTGACTGGCAGAAATTAATTCAGAACAGGGTACTTGGTGATATGAGAGACATAGTCCGAAGGTATGGATGAATGACTGCCAAACGAATGATAAAGCGGGTAGGCATTTCTTGGGTAGACTAGATCAAAATTGGCTGTAATCGGCAATTTTGGATATTGGAGAGATCTATAATGGACATTCAATGTATCCTTATTTTGTAGAATTTGCGCTGCTCTTCTGTTTGGTAGATCATGATCCCTGACGTTAACTTAATTTTGACAGTGGCTTGATGATTCGAGCTTGTGTAGTTGTCCAACCGAGTACCTGAGTACTTGAGTACCTGACACATGGTCAGGCGGGCCAACATGCATCGGAGATGTCGTACATAAAAGTCTTTGATGGTCACAATCGGAGGCTGACTGATTACGTAGGACATAGTTCTGCCACAAACCCTAGAACTATAGTTTCAAGGCTGAGGTAAGTAATTCTTCTGCAAAGGAATGATGAGGTAGCCGTTCTCATTCAGGCATTGTGCTCAACAATGAGCCACCTAAGACCGGTGGTTGTGAGGAAACACTACATAAGTTGTCTTCAAGTGAAAGGGGAGGCGGATGGAGACTGGAGACAGCAAAGCTTCTTGCAACTGCGAGCTTGTCAGAGCTCTGAAGCTGATTTCCGTTAGGCGAGATCACGTGAAGGAGGCCTCCGATTCCCTGCCAACTGGGCGAGTCAGCCCTTCTGTCGAGGTAAAGTAGGATCCAGCAATGAATTTATTCAAATTTGAGAGTAAATTTGCTTTCTTAGACTATTTCCCTGATGGATATTCCATGGCCTACGTAGACATACAGACGCATGGCAAAGATCATGGCATGCGTTGAATGCGGAGACCTATGACGTGGCACGATTGGCGGCGGGAAGAGAACATAGGGAGGGGTAATTGTGGCTTGAGCGCAGCTCTGTCGTTGCTAGCTAGCTCCATGCGGTGGAGATTCAAAACTGCCCCTCCTTCACAATTTTACTCTTCCCTTCTCTCTTCATCATCACATACCAAAAATCTACTCTCGTTCTGACTCAAAATCGATAAAATCAGCAACCATGACTATCAAGACTTTCTTCGATATCACCATTGACGGTCGTAAGTTTCCCAGTTGTCCTATCGTCCAGCTGAGGGACATGTTCTGATGATGATTATCCTCCAGAGCCGGCTGGCCGCATCACCTTCAACCTGTTCGACAACGTCGTCCCCAAGACCGCTGAGAACTTCCGTGCTCTCTGCACTGGTGAGAAGGGATTCGGCTACAAGGGTTCCGGCTTCCACCGTATCATCCCCCAGTTCATGCTCCAGGGTGGTGACTTCACCAAGGGCAACGTGAGTTCACCCATCAAGCCTACTCTGGCGCTGGTGCGGAAAGAGAAGCCCTTCCGAAATATACTGATCTCTACTGTAGGGCACTGGTGGCAAGTCCATCTACGGTGAGAAGTTCGCGGATGAGAACTTCCAGCTGAAGCATGACAAGCCCGGTCTGCTCTCCATGGCCAACGCCGGCAGGAACACGTACGTCGTCATCCCCTGGTATCTCTTGCTCGAGTTCAGCAAATACTAACCATGTAGCACAACAGCAACGGCTCCCAGTTCTTCATCACCACCGTCGTTACGGGCTGGCTTAACGGCGCTCACGTCGTCTTCGGTGAGGTCGCGGAGGGCATGGACCTTGTCAAGATGATTGAAAGCTTTGGCACCTCGTCCGGTACTCCCAAGAAGAAGGTTACCATCGCCGACTGCGGTCAGCTGTAATGAGCAATTGACCTTGCCTGATTGCGTCGGACTAGTTGCGCCAATGATGCTCCATTAGAATACAGTTGAAAAATCTAATGAGAGCCAGTGACTGGGTCTTTGAACTAGTGCATTTCATCCGCTTAAGCCTGTAATCCTTGTAGCTTTCAGTGACCGAAATGCACTCAATAATATTACCAATCCCAAATCCCATGCAAGTCTGATATCATACGAATACTAAGCCCTGCTAAAAGATTTACCATCTCAGCCCGAGGAAAAATGCGGCTTGACTGCATAGTGCAAACTCTAATACAGTAGAGTTATGAGCATTTGATATGATAGTCACATCACAAAGATAGCCTATTGATGGCAGCGATTCGGATTGACCTACTCTCTTTATCAGTAAGGTTCTATGACAGAAACACCTCAATTTTCCAGCTGCTTTCAGCTAAGAAAAAGGGCTAAGCCATCGCCTGGTTTATTTTCAGTGCCATAGCGCGTCAAACCTCAATTCTGCAAGACAGCAGGAGTAGTTTGTTCGGTAGCCCTACGGTCATTGGCAATGTTGCTGTCAAGCAGAGCTTCAACCTTACGTTTGGCTGGCTCAGAAGGATATGAGACTTTACAATATCAAGAACTGCTTTCTGGTCCGTCGCTACATGTCATGTGTAATCGTACGTGAAACGAGACCGACACATCAGTCTTAGTCTCAAGGTATGAGAGTGGAAAGAGAAAGAATATCAGTGTCTGATCATTCTCAGGAAATAATGTAGGAAGAAGATGAAGTCCAAAAGTAGAGCAAAGTAGCTGGAAAAGGAGGGAAATTTCGGGCTGCAGAACGTTTTATTCTATGAGTATAGACTAAGTATATTCATGTAGCTGTGTCTGAAGCAGGTTTATTTTGATGTTACAACGCTCTATATGGATCGTCAGCTTCGCAATCGCATATTTCAAGGAGAAGAAAGGAATAACTCACAAATTCTTTCACCATCCTGATTTCACCATGCCCAGAATCATCCTCTGAGAGGCTCAAGCGGGAGATCTCTGGTGGCGGGACAGCACGCACATTCACGCCCCCTGCAATATGTACGTCATGTTTCCCTTGAGTTTCATATTCCAAATTCTGGTATGCATTTTGGCTCCTCTCCTGCAGTGGAATAGGCAGTCCACTCCAGCTGGTGGTGGTGATGGAACGTTTCTTGATGCGTGCAGAGGAGGCGCTGCGGTTGTAGTGGTTTGCCGCGCGCTCGGACGAGTTATAGTTGTAATTGTAGTTGTAGTTGGCGCTGCTGGAATGGCTCGTAATAAAGGACTTAAAGGGAGGTAGGCAGCCGACAATCATGGCTTTGCAGGTTAGCGTTGGCTACTTGGGTAGATGCTGGATATAGTACATACAGATTGAGGACTCGGTGATGCCCCAGACGGCCAGAGCGGCTTGATCCGAGTACGCTTTGCCGGTAATTGCCACAGCACGAATAATAGCTGCGGCGATGATGATAAATCCGAGACAAAAGACTGTGGCTAGGCCCAGTTTCTGGTGGAAGTTCATCTTGGTATTCCACAGGATGCGGAGGGGGAGGTACATAACTGTACATCTCGTTAACACTTCCCACAACACCTCTTGAGGGGACATACTCATCAAGTCGGTAAGAATGTCGACAGCCGTACTGTAGCAGATGGAAATGACGGATCCTCGGATGTCGATCGGTTTGGTGCATTTTCCTGAGACGGTCAGCTAACGTACACTAACGCTCAACGATCACAATACCGAATCTAAAATAATCCGACGGAGGATGACAGTTCAAGATCGACGCCAGCCAGCATCCAATGTACGCAAATACCGCGAACGTCGTGACTCCCCACCAGACACGGCGATAATGCGGCAAGCCATCCGAAATGAGCCAAAACAGCGCCAGGAATGAACCCTTGATGCTCCAGAGCACCGACCAGAAAATGCCGATGATGACGAATTCATATTGCGTGTACTTGAGACCATGATAGACAATGTCAGGCCCGGTGACGTTCAATAGCATGTAATAAAGATGGGGGGCTTGCAGAGTCTGGAGGATTGCATTGGTGACCAGGAAGACGAGGGCCAGGAGGACAAAGTAATCGTCGACCAGGAGACGCTTCATGCGTTTTATGCGGATAGCGAAGCGAATGGACGCGAAGATGATGCCTAACCCAGCACCGGTCCAGGTTACTCCAATGAGTCCATTGACAGAGAGATGAGTTGCGACGCCCTGAGGGGCTATATTGGCCATGAGGAGTCGGAGGGGGAGATACGTCTAAGAACTAGAAGCACTCCACAGGGAGGGAATAGATTGACAATATATTATAGCGGGGGAAGCCGGCATTGCCTCTGTCATTCCGCATGGCTACAAGAAAGAGAGTCCTGTCAGAAGAGTCAAGATTTGACTTTGTAAGGTGGCATACTGACGGCAGAATCAGTCCAACAGGAGTCGAAGCAAGGGGAAAGCCCCGTTCCAGACTCCATGACCCGGAATCTCGCTGAGGAGACGCTGTATGGCATGTGAATTACTTGAATGCCAAAATCTTTCGTAAATGGGGCCGAAATCTCTTCTTTGGGCCGGATACTGGACAACTATCGGAATGGGTATGGACTGAAGAGCGCACTAAATAAGACTGGACAGGGAGCGGTTTCAACATCCTAGTAGATGGGTCTTCATGGCCGAATCTCCGTCAATAATGGATAGTGACAGACATGGATGCATTGGTCTAGCAAGGATTATGCGACGCTAGGCAGGTCCTCTCTGCTGCAACTAATTCAACAGTGTTGCAGTTGACCACCGTGGACACTTGATGGCATTTATAACGCGAGACTTGTCTAGTATGTAGACAGCGCATCCATGATCTTGATAACCCGAACGATCAACAGATCATCACAAAATAGAAGACTGATAGAATCTTGTCATTAGTGGTCAGGAGATTGATCGACCAGATCAATGAAAGCCGAAGAGGACTAAATCTAAGCGAAGCAAAGGAAATGAAGCGATTCCCAGAAGGGAAATGCACCGGAGACCGCGCAGTGCTCCGAGGGACCAATGGCATTGATACTCCTTGTGTCGGTGTCTCAGGGTCGTCTCTAGGGATGGTATTTAAAATGTCAAAATGACATAATTGACGTGTCATTTAGACAAAATTTCTGTTATTTTAAATTCTGTCCTTCCAACCCACTTTTTACTAATATTTTTACTAGTAATCTAGTAATTCTAGGGACACAGCCCCCCCCCTAATAAAAAAATAAAAAAAAAGGATATAAATGAAGCTATTTAACACATGAAAAAATTTAATATTATTAAATTATAGGTGTAAAATCTAATTTTATGCCTCCTAAGGCTATTTTCTAAGTACTTAAGGTAACTATTAGGCTGGCTGTAGGGAAGGGAAATCCCATGGGAAATCCCTTCCCATTGGGAAATGGGTATCCTATATTAATTTCCCTTCCCATTTTGGGATTCCCATGGGATTTCCCATTCTTATCTAGATAGGATGGGATCCCTAATCCTTTAGTAGGAATGGGATGGGAAATTAATATGGGATTCCTATATTAATTAGGGAATCCCATATACCTAAGGGATAGGGAAATGGGAATCCCATTTATCTAAGGGGCTGGGATGGGATTCCCATAGGGTAATATTAGAATAGGAAGGAAAATCCCATGGGAATCCCAAACCTTAATATATGGGGTAAAAGTGGGGTAAAATAGGGGATATACCCCTAAAATAGCCTATTTTTACCCCTATTTTACCCCATAATTTAAGGTTTAGGATAGTTTGGGATTCCCATGGGATTTCCCATTCTTATCTAGATGGGATGGGATCCCTAATCCTTTAGTAGGAATAGGATAGGAAATTAATATAGGAATCCCATATTAATTAGGGAATCCCATATATCTAAGGGATAGGGAAATGGGAATCCTATTTATCTAAGAGGCTGGGATGGGATTCCCACTACTAAGGGTAAAAAGGGAAGGGAACTAGCTATAGGACTCCCATGGGAATTCCCTTCCCTTCCCAACGGCCAGCCTAGTAGGTTTAAGCTTACTAGCTTCCTAGAGAGGGCTAAGCATATGATTAATACATTTATAATCTTTAGGGCTAATATAGTAGATACAGGGCTTAGAGAGGCAGTTCTCCCATCCTTCCTTTATAGGTATCTCTATCTATTCCTCTTTAGGAATATAGATAGTGGAACCATCATCACCCTAGATATCATACTTTTGTTATCTGCTATATTCAGGGTAGTAGTGAGGGCCTTTATGAGCTGAGGGAGATGGGAAGTAGTTGTATACTATGACCTCCCTTCTCTCTAAGCTAGGGGCTATGCTTACTACTATATATCTATACTAGGAGCTATTATCTATTCTAGGTAGTGAGGGATTGTTAAGGGCTACAGCGAACCATAAAGCCACTATATGCAGCCAACACTAATAGTGCAGAGGGTTTAGACCTAGCAGATCATATAATCCACTATATATATCTCTGTAATTAGCTAAGTATTCTATAACTTAGTAATTAGTTCTCCTTACTTAGGTAATATATGGATATTTACTCCCTTTATACTAATCTTACTAGTTAATATTAACCCTTAGTAGGTAATCTTATAGTTCTAATTACTCTTAAAAATCTAATTAGCCTATTAGGATACTATAAGATAATAATTAATACTAGATCTTTCTCTAGAACTCTAAACCCATGCAGTAAATCTATACTTATAGTAAAAAGAATAATTCTAATCTATAAAGAACTAACTAATCTTATAGAATCTATAACTAAATAATTAGATAATAATTATAATAGTATTTATCTACTATATATAAATAACTAATCTACTTCTAAAAGAGTAGAAAGGGTGAATACCCCTATAGAATTAGAAGCCTAGTATATAGAAAAGAGGAAGTAACTAATAAATACTATCTCTAATAATAATAATAAGACTATCTATAAGCTTCTAGAAAAAGAATACTAGCTTAAGTAAAAGCTTAGGTAAGTAAAAAT